GTCCCAAAACATTGTTATCATCCCCCAAATAAACCCCATATCTATTAACAATTGTTCCCTATTCCTCACCTACCCTGCTCCTGCCCCCAACCTTTGGCAAATACCAACTAACTTTCTATCTCCATGGATTTATCTGTCCTGGATATTTATTATCAAGGAGCCATACAATGCATGACCCCTTCATGTCTGGTTCTTTCACTTAGCATAAAGTGTTTAAGGTTCACGTATGCAACAGCACATTGTTCCTTTTCATGGTTGAGTAATATTCCATTGCATGGCTATACTGATTTGCTTCTCTGTTGATCTGCTGAGTGAAGGGGCCAGATTTGTGTTTCACAAGAGTTCATTGCAGCTGTGGGGAGAAGGCTTGAGGTCAGGGAAGGGTGAAGTCAGTAGGCAATGAGGTATTCTGTAGTCCAACAGAAAGACCATGGGGTGAACAGTAGAAGAAGATATAGAAACTGAGGTCTTCTGGCAGGAACTCAGGCTGTTGCATCCAGGGAAACCTTCCTTCTGGCTACTGAGAGGGACTAACACAGGAGCTGACCCTGGGAAGCTCTGTCCTGTAGACTCCTCCCTGAGGCGAGCCTGCTACACCCAACTGTAGTCAGAGCAAGCCCACCTGCCTGTCAGCTCCTCTCCATCTAGAGTCAAACTGACGTTCTGATCTCTCGGTGTCTCCTTGCGTTATCTGGCTGACAGCTCACTTGAATCCTCAGCAAAAAGCTTCATTCTGCCCTGTGGCCAATCTCTGCTCTTACATCTCTCATTTTCAAGTCGAGGACATCCCAGCGCCAGGGACCCTGGATGCACTCAGCGTAGCAAATGCAGCTGCATGGGCGAGTGAAGACATGGGCTCATCTTCAGAGACTGGGCAGAAAATAAATGATCGGCATGTGTGTGTAGACCTCACGGGAGCCTGTCTATCCGGAAGGTGGACACAGAAGGGTACAACAGCGAATCACTTTATTCTTTCTCCCACAGCCCCTTCATGCACATTCTCCTGATATTTTTCTTCTCGGAGTGAAAGCTTAGCTTTTATGGGTCTCTTGGTTGTAACAAGTGCAGTGCAAGCTAATGATCACACAGCTCTAAACATTACTCATTCTCAAACTACCCCCCTCCTGCCAGGCTCCCCAACTGGGGACTCTGCAGTGAAGAAAGGCCTGGCGGGCTACTTCTGTCTTTGAACAACCTCACGTATGTCGTGGGGGTACAGGACATGGTGTTCTGCTCCTCCAGAGCACTGGTTTGGGCAAAGCCTCCTGAGCCTGGCTGCTCTGGACCTCCCCCTGCTGGGTGCCATCACCCTTTCAGGATGGAAACGCTTTTAAGGAGACCCCCTTCTGCGCATCTTAAGGCTCACATCTAGTGCTGAGGAATGTATTCACCTCTCTCCTCAATGACGCAGCGCACTCCCGCGTCCCCTTTCTCTGTCCCACCACCAGGCAGGCAAGCAGGCAGGCAGACAGGCAGCTCCAGTCTGACTTTTATCGTAATTCTTCTCTGGGCAAGCGTGAAATGCAGTCACTGTTCCCCAAAACTCCAGGGGTCACTGACCCCGTCCAAGCCACCAAGCATTTCCTTGAAGCCTCCCCACCAGACTTAAGGGAGGGTGATAGACCTTCTCCCCTCCATGGGCCCCAACCCCTCTCCCCGCCCTTCCCCACACTCCTGCAATCCTCTCCGATGGCCCAGTGATCTTTAAGCTAGAGGTGGGGACACAGCTCGGATTGGAAGAGCGGCATAGAGGGTGCTGGCCAAAGCCATGGGTGCCCTCCCTGAGCCCCGGGCCCTGGCCAGCGCCTATCCATGATGGCTTCCTGCCACAGGCCTCTCCACCTCCACAGAAGGCTTTCGGTGCTGCCACGGGGGAGGCCAGAGGTGTAGGAGATTCCTCCCTTCGCAGAAGCCCTCGGCAAGGAGGGGAAAGTTGGAGAATAAATGCCCAGCTCCCTCACTCCCGGTGTGCACCCCACTGTCTCTCACATCCTACAGGACTGAACCTGTGTCTGGTGGAATTCGCCATGCGTGTACCGTGAATTGACTCCTTGGCTGCTTCTGTCTCCCCCAGTGCTGCCTGAGATGGGCCTCCAGGAAACACTCAGCTCTTCACTCAGGCTTTGCTTCTGGAGAACCCAGGCTCAATATTTAGTACCGATTGGCCTGTTCTTAGCTTAGGGGACCACTACTGAAATTCCAGGACAACAGCAGTTGCATTTAGTAGTCTGCTGCACACCTTACAAAATGTATTCACGGAAGTCAGAGTTTCTCAATCGTAGTACTATTGACATTTTGGGCCAAATAACTCCTTACTGTGGGGAAGGGTGTTGTCTAGTGCATTGTAGGATATTTAACCGTATTTCTGGTTGTTTCCCAAACTGTGGCAGCCCCCCTAGTTGGGACAACCATGTCTTTAGGCATTACCAAATGTCTCTGTGGTGCAAAACCACCTCTAGAGAACCACTAATGTAAGTCATTTGATATAAACAGCGACCCACAGCGAAAAAGATACTGATCATGGTGATGGTGGTGGTGATGGTGGCAGTGATGGTGGCCATGCTGGTGGCGGTGATGGTGGTGGTGGTGATGATGGTGATGATGTTAATGATGTCAGTGGTGGTGATGACAATGATGATGGTGATGACGCCGTAATGTTATCACATAGGATGTCACCTTCACACGGGTTGATCTAACCTGCTTGGGTGCCATCAGTGAACCTGGAATTTGATCCCAGATCTCCGCCTTCCTTATCTCACTCCCAAAGCCCATGACATAGACTGGAAATAATTATTTCAGACAAAGAACCTGAGAAAAACCACATGCCTTCAAGTGGACAGAGCCAAGAATCAAACCATGTTTTGTTTTTTTATTTCCAAGGAGGTGTGCTCATTCCAGAGCGCTGCTCCTTCCAACTTTACAAAAAACAAAGAGTTGTGCTATGGTTTTAAAATGAAAGTTTGCACCCTTGTGGATGCTTCTGCTGCACTTAGATATTGAAATAAATGATAGCATAAAGGCAAGGTGCACACTGTCTGGAACACACTGTTAAGAGCGAATCGGCTGTGAAGTCGGCTCAAGGAGTAAGTATGAGCCACAGGCCGAGTCTCCCACTTGCTAGCCCAGCCCTTTCCTGAGTGGTTGATGTCACGTGGTACTAGAACAAAAAGTCTCTTCCCTGTCATAGGTCAAGAGCTGACATCAATCCCACTCTGTCCATTGTCAAATAGACTCTCATATCATAACATTTATTGAGCACATACTGTGTGCAAAAGAATTTCAATATCGTAGGGTCTAGAAGCTGCAGGCTGGTTGGAAACTGGCAGGGAGTTGGGGGAGTCCAGGACTTTGTCTTAAAATCCTGCGTGTAAAGCAAACAGACAGCTTTTATAGGAGAGGATGTTTTAGGGGTCCTGCAGGGGAAACTGATGAGATTCAGAGAGCAATTAAAATCTCCCTAAGCCACCGCTTGGGACAGCTTTGTGCGAGGAACTATGAGAGGTGCTGAGGGGACACTGTGGTGAATGCCCTCCACCCCTACCCTCTGGGACAAAACCTTCCATGGCACGCCGCCATGCACTTCTGTGGGCTTGTTCTTGCTACTTGAAGCTCCAGCATGGGCGGCCGCACCCCTACCCTGCCCATCACTCTTAGATGAAGCCGTCAGCGGGGAGGGCTGTTGTCAGTCTGTGTCAGTTCCAGGAACTTCGCGCAGGGCCCTGTCCTGGAATGCCTCTCCCCTGCAGTGACATACTCAGTCAGGTGGCTCCCACTGGAAATCTTCAGTGTCTCTTGCATCCCCAGCAAGATGGCATCCAAATGCCCATGCTGGGCCCTTGAAGCCCTCCCTAGTCTGGCTCCTGCAGAATGCTCTAGGCCCCCAGATCTGTGTCTGTACCCCAGGCACGCTGACCACTGGGCAAGTGTCTTCAGGAACCAGGATGCTCTCCCTTCCCCCTCTACCTCTTGCTTGGCCCTCTCCCACTGCCTGCTTATCTACCACGTGGTCTCCTACTCTGTCTGGAGATTCCAGAGTAAGTATTATCTCCTCCAGGGAGGCCTCCATGCTGCCTCCAATCTGATTTCCATGCCTTCCTTTGTGCTTACCTTCACCCTAACTCCTACCACAATCCCTGGGGTACTAACCTAAATATACTACTCCTCTGTGACTCCTAATTTTCTGAGCACAGCACAGTGCCTGGCACTTAGTAGGTGTTCAAAAAATACTAGAGAGAGGGACACAATAGGACAAAGCTCCCAGGGAAAGAAAGGAAAGAGGCACGCGTTAATACCTGTCATGACGGAGGTGGTCACAGCCAGATCACCTGTCATTCTTTCAAGCAGAGATCAACTTTATCCAGCGTGACTGACATGAGCACATTTCTGTGGCGTATTGAAGTGTTTTCTGGATTATTAACTATCCACAGCAGGCCAAACTTTTAGTGTCAGGGGACTTTCTTGCATTCAAATCTTTGAAAATGTGTCATCCTTTAATGCTACGAACAGTGATAGCAGGTTTGAGCATATTTCATAAATAAAGGGCCTCTGCCCCACCCCTTAAACATAACAGGCAGCCTAATTGATTTTGAGGACTCTGCCACATAATAAATGGAGGGATCATTTCACCTTACATGAAAACACAAGTTATCACTAGCAAACCATCAACTTGCTCTGCGTCAAAGAAAAATGAAAGCACCTTGCCTCGCTGCGGCATGTAGGCTGGTGCCCGGGCCCAGCCTCGCCCATGACAAGGGTCTGAGCGCAGCTCTCCTTACCACGCAGCATTGGATTCTGGTCACTTCCATGCAGGGTGCCCAGGCATCTGCACACCTATGTGCCAGCCTACCAGGAAGGATTAGCCTGTCCTGGTTACCTCACACAGTGAGGGACCTCACACAGTGTCTTAAGAAAGGGTGTGTGGCCTGAAAAAGTCTATCAAAGTCTTGTCGAAGGCCCATCACTCTGCTTCACAAGACCCTCCTCTTCTCTCTGCCCTGCAGCCTCAACCTGAGCAACAGTGACATCCTGACCATCTACGACGGAGATGAGGTCACACCCCACATCTTGGGGCAGTACCTTGGCAGCAGTGGGCCCCAGAAGCTGTACTCCTCCACGCCAGACCTGACCATCCAGTTCCACTCGGACCCTGCCGGCCTCATCTTTGGGAAGGGCCAGGGGTTCATCATGAACTACATAGGTAGGTGTCTCATACAGTCAACGCCTATTTTTCCTTGTGTTTAGTTACAGGTTAAGATGATTTCCTTTAAAAACACATATTGAGGGAGGAGGCTATGCTACATGGGCTAGTTAATATATTGGGCCAATAAGTAGATGTCATTTTTAAGAGCTTTAGTTCACTAGTTGAAAGAACCAGGGCTTGCGTCCTAGCAATGACACCAGTGACTGTGTGACCTTGGGCAAGTCACTGGACCTCTCTGAAACTCCTTCACTTCATCTGCAAACGGAATCACCTACTCCACAAGGTTGATAACATGCTCTAGTAGATTATGCCTCAGAGCTAAGTTTCATTCGTCATCAGCTTGGATTTTATATTGTCCACCCACTCCCCTATATTTGCAACTTCTCAAAACATCATCTTCAGTTGCTTGCCTCAACAGAAGCTTGGTTCTCCCCTAAGAACGCATCTTCCCCTAACGCCCCATTGAAATGAGACAGCTCTTTCTCTCCTACCTCACATGCATTAGAACCCCCAAGATGTAAAATATGTCTTTTCTGGGGGCCTCCCTGGTGGTGCAGGGATTAAAGACACAGCGTTATCAAGCTATTGGCGGCCACTGCAGCACGAGTTCGATCCCTGGCCACCCAGGGAGCTACCCACATGGTGCAGCAGACCTCTCCTGTCTCACTGCTGCTCCCCTCAGCAGTGTACTTCAGTAGATCTGCCTGTTCTGCTCCCCACTCTGTCTCGGGTGAGTCCTCTCACCCCCCACATCTCTGACTTGCACCACAGTTCTTACATGCATAAATAAATCAATCTTTAAAAAAATAATCAAATAAAATGTCTTCCTTGATCTTCACTGTACCCTTAAAATCATTTCTCTCCCCATCTTAAAAAAAAGAAAAACCAACCAGCTATTAAGTTTAAGCTAAGTTCACACTTCACCATCCAATATTTTCTTGTTCTAGTTGCTTTTTCTACTCACACCCTTCCCTCCTCACCCTGGGATCCCCCCTGAGATCCTTTACCTTCCTCTACTCAGCCCTAAACATTGGAGGGTCCCATGTTCCATCCTGGACCCTGCCCTCTGCTCTCTCTAGACTCACTCTGTGTGTTCTCATCCAGTTCCAGGTTTTCCACTGATCCCCAATTTGTACCTCCAACCTTGACCTTTCCTGTGAATTCAGATTCATCTAGACAAACTCCCTGCTATGACCTCTTGCACGTCAGTTGGCTTCTCAGACCTAACATGGCCAAACAGAACGCTTTCTTTCCCTACCCCAACCCATCACCACCCAACTGCTCACCTCTGTCTGCCCATCCCAGGAGACTGAATACACCTTCCTGTTTTCTGGGGCTGCTTCCTCTTCCCTTGTTCCACATCCAGGCCATTCTCTCTACTTCCCTTCTACAATATGCCTCAGATCCCAGCACCACTCCATCTTTCTATGGCCACATAGAAAGTTGGCATCATCCCAGGGACAGGAACACTGGGCTGCCAATAGCTTGGCACTGATTCCAGCCCTGAAAGGGACTTGAACTAACAGAGCATCTGATGCAACTCGTGACACAGTAGAAGCTCTGGACCACTGAGGATAAGGGACTTATTGTACAGGAGCATATCTGAGCTCACCCCAGGGTTCCCATTCCCAGCTCTGAGGGTTTCTCCACCTACAACATTCCTTGCAACAACAGAGAACCTGAGAAGTGCAAGGGAGAGTTAGATCTTTTGCCATCCAGAATTGTGAGTGCTTGCAGCCTGAGGATTTCTGCGCCAGATTCATCCAGCACTTTAGGGACCTTCTTGCACCTCCCAGGATGATGCCTACCAAGAGGTTGACAGCCTGATTTCTAGGATAAATCAGGGAAAAAGAGGATTCATCCTGCCAAGTCTCCCCACTACCACCGCCACCACCTAAGACCCTCTTCTGGACAGTTTCCATGTCTGGTTCTTTCTTCCCCTTATCGTAAAGATGTACTCATCTCACCTAATAGAAATTGTTCTCTCTGAACCACCTGCCTCTAAAATACAAGCCACTCCCCTGATCATTGACTGTCTCCAGGAGCCTCCAGCTTGTGCAAATAAATCCATTGTTTTTTTATTTCCAGCTGGTGGGCATTTCTCATCCCTGCCTGCTCTGCATGCACCTCTCGAGAGGCGCACACAAGTGTTGACTGTCTTTTTTATGTTTCTCAGGGGCCTTTTTACCCTTGATGGTGCTGCTAAGTATTTTCAGACTGTTATGGCTGCTACTTCATGGTTTCTTACTGCTTACTGGGCAGTGCCCTGGGCATTGGGGAACAGCATGTGCTGGCTGTCCAGGCCAGTGGCCCTCCAGAGTCAGCTGCCTTTGCAGGGAAGGCTTCTGGTTCTTGGCTTCCATCTATCCCCTCAGCCATCCCCTCCCTCCCCACTGGAAGATGAGGTCATGGTTTTGTTCATTTGTCTCCTCCGGTGTCTGAGTCAGACCTCCAGAATGGCATTCCGCTGGATGGCAGAAATCCGACTCCATCCAAGGCTGCCCAAGGTTAACCAGAAAGTCTGGCCAAAATTAGTTTGACAACAACTTGAAGAGGAGGCATTCTTGGTAACTGAACCTGAAACTTAGATTTGTGTGACAATTTAAAGTTGGCAGGCACTCCCACATACATCATCTTATTTCATCTTCAAATGTATTATCTTCCTTTCCCAGAGTTGCGTTCACAAAAACCTCATCGCATCTCTTCTGTGCTAGACCCTGTGCTAGCCACCAGGATATAGGAATAAAAAGGATACTCTCTCTGCCCTGGAGCCAGTTAGAGAAAATAAGTGAGGTAGTTCCATTGACAGACAATGTCAGCAGCATGTGTTCATGCTGTGGGAGAATCTGTGGGATTCCAGAGAACTCAGGATACACAGCCTGGCAATGTGACTGACACCAAGAGAAGACAGTTCCTTTTGTTCTTATTTCTGCTTAAAAACATACACACACACACACACACACACACACACACACACACACACAGAGTTAATGTCACAGGGAAGGCAGCCTTCTGTATTCAATTTTGATGCCAATCTGTTGCCTGGGACTACCTATATTGAAGATTGTTAGAAAGAATTCAGAGGAGGTTGTGCCTGAAGGTGATGAGAAAGAATGCCATGATTGATTAGTAATGTCTGCCTTGGCATGAGAGAGGTATTTGCTATGAGGATCTAGATTTAACCAGACATATATGCAACTCCCTTTCAGAGGAGGCATCAGATGGCAGGGTCAGGGGCTTCTGTGGTCATCTAGAGAATTCTGAAACTCCTAGGCTAACCTCTAGGCCTAACCCCAACTATTGGAGGTATTGAAGGCTTATCTGCGGTGGCTGCTGTCAGTCTTTCATAAGAACACTCTGACCTCCCATAATTCTCCTTTGCACAAGCAGCTACAAAGAGCCATTCTCTTCACTACTTCTTGGACTTCACCAGTGCCTGTGGTCCAGTGCATGGGAAGGAAGGAAATTGGGATTAGGCTGTGTTTTTCAAAGAGATATTCATCCCTCGTGTGTTTATTCCTCTAATGCTGGTTTAATACAAGAGTTACACATTGTAGGTCAACTCCAAACAAATGACAGTGGCTCCCTGGAGTGCCGTGTTGAGAAGGATTGGAAAGTTTCAGTTTGATTCAAAGAAAATGATGGCTGTGACTGATTAATGAGAGCTGCCTGGGCAAGAGACTGGTAAATGGTAGCAAGTATTCCACACACATGTGTGTTTCTTTTGCCCAGAAGTTGGACCATGAAGCTAATCCTTACCATGAGATTTCAAATCCTTTTCTTCCCTGGGCCTGGCATATAGTAGGTGTTCATAAAGCCTTGTTCAAACAAATCAACGAACCCCTATAACTCATCTTAGGGCTACTTTATCTTACACACTAATTGGCTTTCACGTTATCCTTTGGGTTGGCAGGACTTTGATTTTTGTCTCCACTCTAGGATTGAGGACAAGGAGGCTCAGAGATATTAACTGGCACTTCGGGAATCACACAACTTCTAAAAGTTAGAAGAGAACTGCAAGGGAAGTTGTCCAAATCCTTGGCCAGTTTTCTTATTCTTATCAAAAGGCACAAGTCATTTCAGAACCTACTCTTGGGGTGTTTGATTAACTTGCAGATTCCTGAACTGGGGTCTTTGGAGGAGGATTCTGCGAACCAAAGAACATGAAGTTCAGGTGACTTATCCAAGGCCACCCAGTTAGTCATGGAGGTGCCATTGGAGTTGGCCCTGCAGTATGTTGGTTGCAACTGACTAATCACAAATGTGATCCCTGCCACAAGGAGGCAGGGGGTCTATGACATAAGCCGTGTTGGTTCATATGGAAAAGTCAGACCAGCAAACCTTTCTCAGTCTCAAAGCATTTAGCATAAGTATCCAGTATTTGCCCCCATATCTCCCCCTTAATCCATAGATTTAACATTTGCAGCTGTGTCCCAAATCCAGGGCTTGGCTGATTTTTCAAAGGCCTAAAAATAGAGACTCCTGTTCCCCACTAAGCAATTCTAGAAGCCATTTCCCTCTCCCTTCTTCTTGCAGACACCCATGAGATCTCCTTTCCTCAAATAAAATCATGATGAAATCCCAGGAAAAGCCATTGCTTGTTTCTCAGAATGACTTTCCTGCAGACAATAGAGGTACTTTGCTTTCCCCAGAAGCACATAAGAGCTGCAAATTAATTACACAGCATAATTAGCTCCCTTCTAAAAATCTGTGCAGTGGGCACTTTGCAACAAGAATAGTAATAGTGGACTTTAGATTGTTGCCTTAGTAATGAGAGTTTGTCAGAGAGGAACAGAATTAGTCCAGAGAAAGATGCATGATAATAAGCTATGTGTAGCATTTTCTGGAGTGTGGTTAATGTTCACTGATGATATGCAATGTGATTTGAAGAATGCCCCAATTTGGTTTTTTTTCTTAGTTTTTAATCTTAATATGCAATGCAAAAGTATATTACTAATTCATCAAACCCATGGATTTATAAACATTCTTAGGATCAAGGAAAGCATATTATTTACATACCACTGTGTGAAAATAACCCTCCAAAATTAACAATTTCATGGTTTCTATGGCCAAGAATTTAGGAGCAGCATTAAGTTGGGAGTTCTGACTCGGAGTTTCTCATGAGTTTATATTCTAGATGTTAGCCGGAGCTGTAGTCTCAGCTGAAGGTTTGACTGGGGTTGGAGACTCCACTTCCAAAATGGTTCCTTCATGTGGCTGGCAAGTCAATGCCAGTTGTTGACAGGAGAGTTCAGATTTTCTCCAGCTGGGTCTCTCCAATGGTCTGCCTGAACATCCTCCAGAGAAAGCAATTCACAAGAGAGCACTGATTTTAGGGCCTAGCCTTGGAAGTCACATGCCATCACTTCTGCAATACCCTGCTGGTTCTGCACATGAGCACAACTCAGTGTTGGCTAGAACTAGGCTAAGAATGGAATTCCAAGGGGTGAGAATTATTGAGACTTGGAATCTGGCTCCCACAGCAAGGCAGGCATGGGTATGATGACATTCACGAGAGGTACGGAAACTGGGACACAGAGAAAAGTGACCACTGCTCAGCACACTGCTAGCAAGTGCCAGAGCTAGAATTCTAACTCTAAATCCTAAACTGACTTTAGAGAATGTTAAGAGAAATCAAGAGAATGTTAAGTTCAGTGGCCCATGGGAAGAGGGAATGTAAAATCTCCATCTGGAAGAATTTCTTGCAATTTAAGATTTGGGAAGATGTGATAGTTATTTCTGGAGGCTTTTTCTTCTATTTTCTCTTTCTTCTGATATTTGTCAAAGGAACCCCAAACAAAAAGACCACCTCCCTATCTAAGGATGATGCTTTTGTTTTAAAGAGGTGTCAAGGAACGACTCCTGCTCAGATTTGCCTGAGATCCAGAATGGCTGGAAAACCACGTCTCATACAGAGCTTGTGCGGGGAGCCAAAATCACCTACCAGTGTGACCCCGGCTATGACATTGTGGGGAGTGACACCCTCACATGCCAGTGGGACCTCAGCTGGAGCAGCGACCCCCCATTTTGTGAGAAAAGTAAGAGACTTATTTTCTTCCTCTAAGTCAGTAGGTAGCAAATCCATCCCACGGGGTGCTTTTTGCATAGTTGCAGTTAACTTATTGAATGTAGAAACTGCCCTCCCTCCTACTCCACCAACTCATCAGTGTGGCACACAAATTTGCAGCTCTAGGGCAGGAATCTCAGACTCAGATGCCTTCATCAGGCAGAAGAGAATATAAATGAGTGAAATAGGTTGGGTGTGATACAATAGAGAGTGGTGTGGACTGTGGTGAATAGTAATGCATGCAGTGTGTATAAAAACATCATTCAAATTCAGTTCTTTAATATACCTAGAGAAGGGCCTCCCTGGTGGAGCAATGGGTTAAGACACAACCTATGAAGCTATCCGCAGCGTGAGTTCGATCCCCAGCCAGCCAGGGAGCAACCCACATGGCACAGCAGACCTCTCCTGACTCGCCCACTGTTCTCCTCAGCAGTGTATTTTGGTCAATCTGCCTGTTCTGTTCCCCACTCTGTCTCTGGTGAATCCTCTCACGCGCCCCCGCATCTTTGGCCTGTACCCCAACTCTTGCATGTATAAATAAATAAATCTTTGATATATATATATATATATATATATATATATACCTAGAATCTCCAAGCAAAACAAGTCCAAGTTGGCCCCTGTAGTTCCTGTTGAAAATCCCTATAGCAGATAGCAAACTTTACACAGACAGCACCCATCCAGCTCCCTGGTTCCTTCTGTCTGCTCCCTGCTCCTACTACAGGTTAAGCATGGTGATAGCTGAATCTAGTGTATTGAGAAGGGCTGGGAAAAGGAAGTATTTCTGGTTTTTACACTTAGTGGCAGGGGGAGAATTTAAAATTGGAAATGGCCTCTCCACACCCCACCCTCAGCCATTTGCTTCCACCTCCTACATAAAGTTCTAGTCCACACCCTCTTGCTGGAAATCTTGGTAATACTTTGACAAAGCTGTTCAGCATGACTTGGAGCACCAATTTCACAATAATAGATAATAAATGTGAGCAGAGACAGAGAGTATCATGGGGGTTATAAACAATTCTTATAAACATCCCAACATCAAAGTAATTCCTTATAATTACAGAAACATAAGTGAAGTTGTTAAAGAGTCACAAACTCAGTTATATAAACAGATCTCTGTTTCACAAACACCTGCTGGCTGTGTGTGTGTGGTTGTGTGTGAGTGTTTGATGTGTCATGTATTGGTAACCCAAGTCCCACCACCAACTCATGAACGCGAAGTCCATTATCATTATACAAAACAATTTAAAACCTTGGAGAAGACATAAACTAGTTCTTCTGCGTTTCCTCACTTGCCTCCATTTCTGCCAAGAAAAGGCCCAAATTAGAGCAAATAACTGCATCAAGCCCGTCGTGTGCAGGTGTTTGTGTTTGCCTGCTGGACATCCCACTTGCTCTCCATTCAAGCCAGGGACTCACTAGTTGCTTTCCCTTCCATGAAAGGAGGGCAGCAGGATCTCCTTAGGACCATGGGGCTCCCCGGGAAGTGCCTAGCTGTTGTGAATGCCTCACAGCGCTTAACACTTTTGACATTAAAAGATGTGTGTGGTTGGGGATGAGTGTGTGACATAGGGGATGGAGTCAAGAGGTACAAACGTCTAGCTATACAGTAAGTCGTGGAGTGTAACGTGTGGCATGGAGACCATAGTTAAGGATATTGTAATGCATATTTGCATCTCTAAAGTTCTCATGACAAGAAAAAAAATGGGTGACTTTGCAGTAACCAGACTTCGTGGGGATCATCTCACAAGTGTGCGCAACTATGGAATCATTATGTTGGGCACCTGAAACTAATGTGATGCTGCAGGCCAAACACACCGCATTTTTTAAATACATAAGTGAATAAATATGTAACCATATGTTAAAATTACATGAGTAACAAATGTTGACTTGTAGGACTCAAGCAGCAGTAAAATTATGAGCTAGAGAGTGAAGATTTTTTGCAATCATCTGCTCCAGAGATGATTCCAGTCTTTAAAGTTTATTTAAATTGTTCCAGCTGGAAGCACATGATATGTGTGTTACACCTGTATGAACATGTGTGTGTATAGACATATAAAGATATTCACACCGAAATAGCCACAGATAAACTTCATCAGCACAGAGAGCAATTGATACAAACTGCCTTGTGACTGCTTTTCCTCTCGATTCAGAAACACAAATACCTTTTCATACCAGACAGATTGTCTACTTCATTCTTTTTTAATTGGTTTATTGTTGTCCTTTTATCTGTATTGATTTTTTTATTTAAAAAGTAGTGGATGCTTTTTTAGGATATTCAAGCACTACACTTGGCTGTCACTAGTGATTGTTCGGGGTTTTTTGCAATAACTATTCCATGCTTTTTAATTCTTGCCCTGTCAAAGGATTTGCGTTGTCTCTTTTTTGCATCACTGTATAAGCAGCTGGGCAGCATACAACCTTGTACACAGATCTTTGGGCCCTGATGCAAATGCTTCTTTGGGCAAATTCCTAAATGTGGAATTCAATTCAAGGCCCTCTAATCCTGGCTCACCTTGAGGAGCACAAAATGTGTTACCTTCCAAAAGGGAGAATAAGTTAGGAAATGTTCTAGATCATTCTGTAATTTTGAGCCAACCTGTGATCGTCAGGAGCCCTAACACACTTGGTCTGCTTTCGCCTTGTCTGTGTAGTTATGTACTGCACCGACCCTGGAGAAGTGGACCACTCGACCCGCTTGATCTCGGACCCTGTTCTGCTGGTGGGCACCACCATCCAATACACCTGCAACCCGGGCTTTGTGCTTGAAGGGAGCTCTCTGCTCACATGCTACAGCAGAGAAACCGGCACTCCCATCTGGACATCACGCCTGCCCCACTGTGTCTGTGAGTCTGTTACTGGCAGAGCCCCGGTGCATGTCCAGGGCTGGATTCCTCACTCATGGTGGAGGGCTGCTAGTGGAGGGCTGGGCTGCTAGTGGAGGCCTTCTGCCCTGGATCGTGTGTTCTGACTATCACAGGGAAGTAGCTAGGAGAGACTGAGGGCATGGATACTCGGATTTTTTGTTTTTTGTTTGTTTTGTTTTATTTTGTTTTTAGTTCATTTATTTCTATGTATCTTACATCATTGTTCATATAAATGGTGCTGGGAAAACTGGACCACCACATGCAAAAGAATGAAATTAGATCACTAACTCTCACCATGCACAAAAATCAACGCAAAATGGATAAAAGAGCTGGACATAAGACCTGAAACCATAAAATATATAGAAGAAAATATAGGTAAAACTCTACAATACTCAAATATTTATGGTAAACTTACCAGGCACCGTGCAAGATCCTTGGCCAAGTTTCCCTCTGCTCATCCTCAGATAGCCTTGCAAGTCTGGCATCATTGCCTCCACTTTAAGAGGAAGATACCAAGGTTCAGAAGGTGAAATCTTTGCTCTAGATCACACAGCTAGTTCACAGGGAACACTACAGGCAAACCCTGTTGACTCTATTTAAAATTGAGCCATCCAGGCAGTACTGAGTAGAGTGCATTTAAACTGCCCTTGTCCTGAGCTTCATGGGGCCATCCAAGCCATGTTTGCTTAAAAAATACCTGATGGGATATCCCAATATTATCTCAATTAATAGTAAATAAATGGGGCCTCCCCGGTGGCGCAGCAGTTGAGTGCTGGGTTGCGAAGCTGCCCGCAGCCTCTGCGGCACCGGTTCAATCCCCGGCTGCTCCCTGGCCACCAGAGGAGGGTCCCACATGGAGCGCAGACCTCTCCTGCTGCCCGCTGCTCCCCTTGGCGGTGTGCTTCCATCCTTCTGCCTGTTCTGCTCCCTGCTCTGGCTCTGGTGAATTCTCTCACCCTCCCGCACTTCTGACTGTACCCAGTGCATGTATAAACAAAAACCAAACAAACAAATATATGAATAAAACATGCCTCTATTAAAAAAATGGTAAATAAATGATAATTTTTTAAAAGGAATTAAAATGAAAAACTTTTTTAAAAAATGAATTGGAGAAACTAACATTTTGGGTGTGATTGGGTAGCTCACTTTGGCTAGAAAGATATATCTATCGAGTAAAATTTGAAAAAGTACAAAATCAAGACATCATAGGTTTCTTTGCCAAAAAAGTTCCATAAGTTTCCAAGAGCTCTCTGAAGAATGGGGTTCCTATTCTCACCAGCAGGGGAGTGGATAGGAGCAGGCAGAGGCTCTCAACCCTGGTGGCCTATGGGAATCACCCTGGGAGGGCAGGTTAAAACTCCCTGGAGATTCTTGCAACTGCAGCAGGCTGGGGTGGAGCCAGAGGCAGCCTAGCAACCTGGGGAGCTCAGAACCCCTGCCTCCAGAAAGCATGAGCTTCTACAGAAGGAACAGAGCCCTGAAGGCTATTGGGGTTTAGAATCCATCAGCAGCACTAACACTTCCTGAGTGCATTACGAATGCCCTTAGGGGCACAGCCAGCTTGAGCTGCCGAAGTTGCTAGAAGGTCTGAAAGGGCTGGGGAATCAAGAGTTTAACTTTAGACCATAAAAAAAAAAAAAAAATACAGTAAGGTTTTCATGGACTCATTTACACCGATGTGATGGTGCTGAGAACAGGACTTGGGTAACCCCCGCAGGCACTGTTTTCTGACTCTCACAAGTCTCCCAGCTGGTCCACAAGCTGTGCTGGACATGCGAACAAGTAGCCCCGCGATTGAGGTGGGCCACAGCCATTGCTGTTGGAAGATAACTGGAAAGCCGGAAAGTCCTGTGCATTTCCATTGATAGGGGCATACTTATTGAGCACTTGCTGTTTACCAGGCACCGTTCTACGCAGGAGATACGTGTTTCCTTTGTTACTGCCAGGAAACTAAGACCGAGATACCCACTGCTTCAGGTAGAGAACGGAGCACTGTCAAATTCAAACAAATAGAAGATCTTCCTCTCTGTTCTGTTCGTGACTTAGTCAAGACCAGGGTACTACGAGTTCATAGATTTAGTTTCCTCTGCCCACAGAGAGCAGTCACCACACAGACCCAAATAAGTGCAAGGTTTGGGTTTATGTCTCTCTCCTTGCTTTGTAGATGTCCCTTCATTAACACTGATTCCTTTACTAGAGGAAAGTTTGCATTTCTGGGTTATTTTCTTTCTTCTCAGACAGGAGGTCTTTTCTGGTAAAAACATGTCACATTACATCTAACCTCTTGACAAATGTTTAAGTGTAGAATGAGGTCGTGCTTACTCAGGGTTCCGCGGCAGATCTCTAGAATGTAGTCCTACTGCACAGCTGAAATTCTAAGCCTATTGATTAGCAACTTTCCCATCCCCCAGTTCCCAGCAACCGCCATTCCACTCCATAGCTCTATGAACCTGCCCAATTTAAAAACCTCTAAAGTGAATTCATGCGATATTTTTCCCTTCAGCAATTAGCTTAGTTCACTCATAAAATGTCCTCAAGGCCTAACCATATTGTCGCCTATGGCAGAATTTCCTTCTTTTTCAAAGCTGAACAATATTCTATTGTATGTATTTTCCAGAGAATAGCAGTGGGTGTTATTTACTGACTGCAAGACATTTTGCTAAGAGCTTTGTATATATTTGCATGTGTGTATGTAGCATGTGTATGAGTATATGTGGGTATGCACATATATGAAGAAAACTAAGGCTCGAAGGAAAACACAGGTAATGACAGTGATTCATTGAATGGGTGAAACACATCACTAACCAGATTACATATAAGTGAATGTACTTGTATGCACACATCTGTAGACACACATCATCAATACAGAAACGCATGGTGCGTGTATGCGAGACTCAGAGAATAATGATAAAGTCACAACTTCTTAGGCAGGGGTAGCATTTTGGCCTCTGAGTCCAGGCTCCTTCCACCAGCAGAGCCAGCCCCATCCTTTCACTGAGGTTAGCAGGATGCAGACCTGTGCAAGGACAATCCCAGGGGATCTGGAGCCAGTGGCCCTAACCCCTCCACCCCCACACAGCTCCTCCCCAGCCCCCAGGCCTTTGGGCAAGGTTGACACTGGTTACTTCCTTTAAGGGACTGAATTGTGTCTCCAGCAAGAGTCCTTGCCCCTGAATTGCGACTATTCTTGGTGAAAATAAAGACTTCGCAGGGCCTACCTGGTGATGCAGGGGTTAGTCTCAGCGGTATCAAGCTATAGCCACTATGGCATGAGTTCAATCCCCAGCCGGGGATGTGACCCACGTGGTGCAGCAGACCTCTCCTGTCTTGCCTGCTGCTCCCCTCAGCCGTGTATTTCAGTAGATCTGCCTGTTCTGCTCCCCACTCTGTCTTGGTGAATCTTCTCACTGCCCCGCCTCCACACTTCTGGCCTACACCCCAGTTCTTGTATGCATAAATAAATAAAAATAAATCTTAAAACAAATTTTAAGAAGTAAAGACTTCGCAGGTGGCATCAGGCTGAGATGAGGCCCTACAGGATTGGGGTGTGCGCTAATCCAGGGATGGGCATCCTGATAAGAAGAGGGAGACTTGGCCAGAGGGAGAAGACCCGAGGAGGGGAAGGCACAGGGGAAGGCCCGAGGAGATGGGGCGCTCAGAGCACTGTGCCGGCAAATCAAGGGGCACCAAGACTGGCCAGGGCCACCGGGAGCTGAAGAAGCAGGAAGGAGTCTCCCTCCAGGCTTCAGAGGGTGCTTGGCCCTGCTGCTGCCTGCTCCTAACTTCCAGAACTCTGGGGCAATAGTTTCTGTTGCTCCAAGCCCCCAGTTTCTACTTCCCTGGGGTGATTGTAGGGGGACCAGAAGCCTCTGAGTAATTCAGCTGCAGAGCCCCAGACATGAAAAGTTAAAAATACAAGCTTATGGGCCCCCCCGGTGGCACAGCGGTTGAGCGCTGTGTTGCGAGGCTGCCCACAGCTTCTGCGACCCCGGTTCGATCCCCGGCTGCTCCCCGGCCATCGGAGGAGGGTCCCACATGGCGCGCAGACCTCTGCTCCCCTCAGCAGTATACTTCGGTCCTTCTGCCTGCTCTGCTCCCCGCTCTGGCTCTGGTGAATTCTCTCACCCTCCCACGCTTCTGAATGTACCCAGTGCTTGTATAAATAAATAAATAAATCTTTTAAAAAAAAAAAATACAAGCTTATGTAACAGTAGCGAAAGGTGGAAATATCCTTGAAAAAAAGCAGAAAAGGCACCTCCTAATGAGGCCCGGCCCCAGGAGACCCTCTGGGCTGTGAGGAGGCTGCTGGATTCTAAGAAGCCCGTCTGCCTCCCGGCGGGGCCACCCTTCCCTGGAAATGCTGGGAAGGTTGGAGCTGCAGTGTGAGCTGAGACGGCTTCCCTGACACCCATGCTAATGAGTTCATGAGTCAAGCGGGGTGTCAGGAGACACAGCATCCTCGCAGGATCCTGAGGGAAGGGCCCACTGCCGCTGCAGCAATGCTACGGGTGGGGCTGCCAGAGGTGATACAGGAGGCAAGAGAAGGATTGTGCCAGCCACCAGTGCCCACGTGGCAGGGAGGTGGTGCCTGGGTTCTGGGGTATTTTTATAAGGTTGTTGGCCATAAAGTAACTTTAAAATGCTTCCTCCACTGATCAAAAAGAACAGCCCTAATTTGATAAGCATCTTTGCTATGCTAATTCCTTCCCCAACAGGAACATGTTTAACCCCACAAAACAGCGTGAGTGATACGTGTGTCCACTTAAAAGCAGGCATAGAAGGCCCAGAGAGGGTGAGTAGCTTGCCTGAGGTCACACGGCAGAGAGAGGAAAACCTGGGATTGCAGTTGGATGGGATGACTAGAGCATCATTTCCCAGCTCATCACTGCAGCCCCAAATGCTGGGTGAAGCTCTGATGCTTGACTATTGACAAAGATCTTCCATCAACAAATGCATGAAGCAGAAGAGCGAATTATAGAAACCTGGTTGTCTACAGCTTCTGTTCACAGTCACTTGCCCAAGGCCTTAGGTTGGTCCAGTTGGGACTCAGAGCCATGTCTTTTCCCTCCTAGCCCACTTGCTCCTTGCCACTTCAAGTACAGGCCAGGGAGAGAGAGCAGGAACAGTCTGGGTCTCACAGTGATACATACCAGCTCTGCTGGGTGACCTCCAGCAAGAAACTTGCCCTCTCTGGGCTTCAAGGCCTTCGTCTGTGGAAAAAGGATTAATATTCCCTACCAGACAGGGTTGTTGAAAGCAATTCATTCAACTTTCAACAAGTGCGTCCCCTATAAAGGCACAATCTGAGACAGAGGTGTGACTCTCAACAAGCTTGTGTCCTCATCGAAAAGATTCAAGAAACAATCACGCCAATAATCAACATAAAAGCTTATAACAGTGTGTCTGGCATATAGTAAATGCTCAGTTAACATTGGTTGCTAAGAACCACTCAGCTTCTTTCAATGTTCCCCTACTAGGGAGCTAGAATACAAACCACTCAGAACAATAACTAGGAAAACTGATTTTGAGCATTTTGCTCAGTGTGCACCAAAAATGTACATTTTTTTGCCCTATAGTTAAAGGGGGGGGGATTAAAAAAACAGGGTAATTTATGTCTGTAGCAGTTCAACTCACTTGAATCTCTGGGAGAGAATGGGTTGGGGTCACCCAAAATTGCAAATGGAATTACTTAAAACCTTAATGGGTCTCAATCAAGGTGGATGTGGCTCCTGTGGGAACATTTGCCAATGATAATTTCTAGAGACATTTTTGGTTGTCACAACTGGAGGCGAGGACCTGCTGCTAGTACTTCGCTGGTGGAGGCCAAGAATGCCGCTCAGCAGCCTATAGTGCACAGACCCACTCCCATCACCAAGGAATTACCCAGCCCAAGTGTCAGTAGCATCAAGGTCGAGAACGTTCACCTCAGACAATGATATTTCAAAATGTGGGTGTGAATGTCATTGTCTGGGTGTGAATGTCATTGTCCAGCAATGTCTCAGCTAAGAATGGAGCCTTAATCCAGTCTGCTAACAGGCAGGAAAAAATGAAGTCCAGAGATGTTAAGTGACTCACCCAAGGTCACACAGCCCATCCTGACCTCTACTTTCAAAATCAAGTCACTTTTCACATCATTCCTGCTGTCTTCTGGTAGTAGAAGACAGACACAAATGCTTTCAAAAAAAGGCACATGGGATTCTACTCAGACTCATCCTGATAGTTGGATTGGGGATGAATCAGACTGATTTTGGAGCCAGCGAATGCTGGACTTGAATCATAGCTCAGTCGCCTCCTTCTTGTGGGAATTTCACGAACCCATCCCCCTGTGCCTCAGTTTCCTAATCTATAAAATTGCTGTCTGATATGGTGACTAATGATGAATTTGGGCCGCCTGGATAGGAATCCTCTCTCTCCCACTGACTAGTTTGACAGACTCGCCAGTATTTCTGTGCTTCATTGGTCAGATGTAAAATGGGGAAAGTGATCATAACATCTGTCTTGGGATTGTTACAATAATTAAATAAGTTAATAGATGGGACCCTCCAAAGAGCACCTGGCTTCTGGGAGGCTCTCAGTAAGTGGTGGCTACTCCAGTCATTACTGTTGCTACCTGTAAGGATTTGGGGGATATGGGGGTGGGGATTTGAACTGATGTACTTGAATACCTTGGAAATTAAGTGTTAAATTATTAATTCCTTAATCATGTCAGTACACCAAAGCAGCTGTTCTGAGCCCTAAACCTTCAGCCCTGAATTCTGGCTGAACTGTGGAATCATCTAGAGAGCTTTGGAAAGAATGCCCTTGGTATGGGTCTAATAACAGCCAGGTGAGAAGAGCTGAGGATGCCTCCCTTTAATCTTTCTAAACCTGCTGTCAGTATTTTCCTTTACAACCAGGTCTAAGAATTTATTCTTGTCACTATGTCCCTAGGGCCAGGACAGTGCCTAGCATGGGGTTGGCACCTAGAAAATGTTTATGGAATACATAAATGTCAAGTTAAATGAAGGCAGGGACCATGTCTATCTTGGATTATCATTATATAGGTCCAGGGCCAAGGAAAGTGCCTGGCACATAGAAGGTGCTCAATAAATACGTATTGGAGTCATTAATATGTTCATTTGTGAAAGGAAATGGCAGGGCTGTGGAGAAATCCTACTGAGTAGCCACTGCCACCTGCTGACCATTTTGCTACACTGCAGGTAACTCACCTGAGATTTGCCTTCTCTTAAGGACCACTTGCTTCCCTTCCACCCTGTAAATCACACATTTTATAGACAAGAACATTGAGGTCCAGAGAGGTCAAATGTCTTGCCTGCAGATGGGCAGGTGCACAGCCAGGCCTGAATTCCGGGTCACTGGACACAAGGTCATGCACTTTATTCTCACTTTCCTGCAAGGGAATTAACCGGTGCTCTTTCAAGCAGCCTTATTTGGGCAGGTACTATATGCCAGGCTTTGCAGATGCAGCAGTAAGAGCCAACCCCAGCAGAACAGAGCTCAGCTGGAGTGAAGACTCAAAGACTTTTTTAGAGGAATCATTAGGGCATGATGGATGCAGGTCCTGACCATGATTTTCTTTGCATTTATTATAAAGGTAACACATGCCCAACCTGTTTTTTTAATGATACATCAATGTGTTATAAATATAAAAGCGCTGGTCAACAGCTTGTAGGGAACTGAATCTTGGAAGTGAGTCCTAGATGTCATAAATATAAAAGTAAGATTTTTCCCTTCCTGCAGCTCATACCCTAGGCTCATTCTACAAGGCTGATGATTCCTTACCAGTCCTTTTAGGCATCTCCCATGGATTCATAAGCGAGCACTATCTAAGGGCCTCACGATTGATTTAAGGAAGGCATTGTGATTTGACTCAAGGATCAAGCACGGAAACTGGCTGCATGTCCAGCCTGCTCTGATGTACCCCTGTGTGAACTTCAAGCCTAGAGCTGATCTTGGTTTAGTGGAAGGATTAGTCTTGGCCAAGCATTTGAGGTTCCAGTTGAGATCCTTATTATACTGTGCGTCTCCTACTCAAGAGTTCCATGGGACCAAGAATTATATTTGTTTTATTCACCCCTGTGTCCTACCTATGTGCTGGCAGAAGGAATTAGATCACATGCTGAGCCTGGAATGGGTTAAACCTGCAGATTCAACTCTCCAATAAGTCTTAAGCTACCAAGGGTCATTCGTAGTGCTCCCCCTGTATACGTCAGAGTAATTTCTGATGCCCCTGAGCTTCAAGAGTGTCTTAACCGGCTCATCTTCACTGAGAAAAACTTATATTAAATAATTAAATACAATGTATGCAGTGCTGGGGCAGAAGAAGAGCACGAAAGACTAGTGGCTCAATTACACACTGGGGGCATCAGGGAAGACTTCCTGCAGGAGGTAAAAATGAGGACTGAGCATTGAAAGACAAGATTTGTCTAGGTTGGGTAAGCAGGTGAGGTGTAAGGTAAGAAGCTGGAGGAATGTTTCATAACTTAACACCATCTATTCATTGCTCACTGAGAGCATGGAAAGAGCATGGCAAGCATTTTACACTTATCATCTTAGTGAATCTTCCAAATCCCTACAAGATAGGTACTACTAGTATTCCCATTTTACATGCGGCGACAGGTTCAGAGAGGTTGTGGTCCTTGCTGGAGGTCACACAGCCAGTAAGATTTTCAACCAGACTGTACCATAACGTGTGCCCAGAGGTAGCAAAGGGAGTCTGGGGAGTGGAAAACAGTTCACTGTGGGGAGGTAGAGAGGGATGCAGGGCAGTCGGGCCTAAGTCAGACGCGTGGGCTCCGAGCAAGTCCCACTCCATCGGGCTCATTTCATCAGCTCCTTTGGCTTGCATTGCAGCGGAGGAGTCCCTGGCCTGCGACAACCCAGGGTTACCTGAAAACGGGTACCAAATCCTGTACAAGCGGCTCTACCTGCCGGGGGAGTCTCTCACCTTCATGTGCTACGAAGGCTTCGAGCTCATGGGCGAAGTGACCATCCGATGCATCCTGGGGCAGCCATCCCACTGGAACGGGCCGCTGCCTGTCTGCAAAGGTAAAGAGACCTACATGGATGGGGACTGAGGGGCCCGGAGCTTCGGGACTAGCTTGCAGGGAATCTGAATGTGCTCCAAAAAGCCAAGCGCCAAGCTACTGTATTTTAGTAAATCTAAGATGCTACCATCATTTCCCGCACAACTGATAAAGTAACAGATTGCTGCCATTTAAACTATAACACGTGCCGTCTTAGCATTTTTACTTACTGAAGTGAGCTCTCTTCTAAGTTGTTGTCAGAACCCGGAGCCAGCCTGCCTTTCACTCCCCCTTCCAAAAGATGGCTTAGATGCTTCCCATCTGCTGAATCCACTTCTCACAATCACTTGACTCCCCAGGGTAGCTTGGGCTTCCTGTTTGATTTGGGGTTATTCTCCCACCAATTCCCCAAAAGCTGATGAAGCCTGGATGAGCGAGAGCCCGCACGGAGATCATGGGCACCACCTGGTGGTAGAGATAACAAACCGTTGATTCGAAGACACCCCATCTCGGAGATGGTAAAAAGGGAGGGGATGTATTTTAGTTCATTGAAATTAAGTTGTGTCACACCCAGTTGGTTTGAGCCCGTTTATCTGGGTATTTGGGGTGTGCAATTAGTACACCCTAAATGCATTCAGTGTTTTGGACCAGCGAATCCTAACCTTTTATTAAGTTAATGCCCCTTGGAGAATCACACAAAAAAACTCAGAAATATTGCACCTGGTAGAAAGCGTGCAACTTTACATTTCTACTTGGGTACCCATAACTTCAGTGGATCCCCAAGTGCCTTATTCATGAACTCCAAATATTTTAAGACTTAAAAATACTTTCCCCGTTGTATTTCTTGTTCAGGGGTATAGACAAAATAATTCAAAACAAGTGTTCAAGCCAATTCTTGTACATGAATGTGCAAGGCAGCACTATACACAAAACACGGAAATAACCCAATGTCCATCAACGAATGGATAAGCAAAATATGGCATATTCATTAAAAAAGAATATTATTCAGCCCTAAAAAGGAGTGAAAAGCTGATGCCTGTTTGTAGTGCCAGCAGGAAGGCACAGTTCAGGATCTCTATGGTTGGAGCAGATGGGTAAAGGAGGGTCCTGGAGCCCTCGGTGGCTTTTCCAGGCTTTTATTGGGATTTTACCAGGTACATGGCAGGCAGGGGTGCCAGGGGGCTGGCAGGCCTTCTAGCTCCCAGCAAGTCCTCACTCTTTATTGGGCATTCCGGCAATCTCTCGTGGCCTCGTTCTCTCTCTTCTGCTCATTCGCTTTCATTCCCTTCCTGTCTCGCATGTTCCCCTCCATCCCCGTGACGCCGCCCTTACAGGCCCAGTCTCAGCCCAGGTTTACCCACTTCCCCACTCCAGGTGCCCGCCATCAGGCATGCATTCAGGACCACTGGGATCCATCCTTAATCCTGAAGGCAGGAGGGCAGAAAAGCCTGATAATCACTTCCCCTACACTGGTACAACACGCGTGAACCTTGAGACACTATGCTTAGTGAAAGAAGCTGGGAACAAATGATCACAAATTCTCTATTTATATGAATATCCCAAATAGGCAGATCCTGAGAGAGAGTGAATTGGCGTTACCCTGGGGCTGAGGGGCGGGAGGAGTAACTGCTTCATTGGTCCAGTTTCCTTTCGAAATGGTGAAAAAGCTTTAGAACTAGAGGTGATTGTGGTACCATATGGCTAATGTGCTAAATGCCACTGAATTATACATTTTAAAATGTTTTCATTAAAAAAATAAATTAATAAAGCATTTGGCTTATTTAGGAAAGAATTGTAGGTAACAATTTGAGAATATCGTTAAATTTACATATTGTATAAGTGTGGGGCCGGAGCTGCTTTTTCCAGTTGTCACGGAGCTACAGCAGCTGGCTTGGACCAGTGAGGTGAGAAACGCAGGACAGAAAGTCATTGGGCGGAGGACACTGGAGAGAAAAGACAGAAATTATGTACTTCTAGACCTTTGTGAAATATCAGTAAATGTCTTTTTTTTAATGAGTTACTCTTATGTTTTGAGAATTTTACCTGTTTTTTCGGTTGTAGCGCAAGGAAGAGCACAGAGCAGATGTCTATAATTCAAGCAGACAAGTGAAGGAGAGTCCTGGAGCCCTCGGTGGCTTTTTCAGGCTTTTATTGAGTTTACCAGGTACACGGCAGGCAGGGGTGCTGGGGGGCCATGAGGCTGGCAGGCCTCCCAGCCCCTGGCGTATCTTCACTCTTTCTGGGCTCGCCGGCCTTCTCTCGGAGCCTCTGCTTCTCTGCTTGCTCTGCTGCTTCTGGTGGTTCCGTTCTCCTGGTATCCCCATGACACCGCCATTATAAGCCCAGTCTCTCGGCCCAGGTGTACCCACCTATGTAGGACCACACCCTACTCCAGGTGGCCGCCATCAGGCATGCAATCAGGACCGCAGGGATCCATCATCAATCCTAATGGCGGGAGGGCAGAAAAGCCTGACAATTATTTACCCTGCATCAATGTTTTCCTGAATCACCCAGTTAAGCCTCTAAGACAGGTGAGTTATCTTCTACACTTAGAGATGAAAAAGAAGAGGCTCAGAGAAATTAAGTGACTTCCCCAAAGCCACACAGCTGGAACGAGAGGAATTCACAGGGGAGGATTGTAAATTCCCTGCCTTTTCCACAGCCAGGTCGTCAGGGCGCACTTCAGGAATGTCTACTTGCATCTCAACCAGCCAGTCCCTGAGCATCAGAATCAGCCAGAGAGTTCATTAGAAAGACATTCTGGGTCTGCACAGTCAGAGTCACTGACGGGGGCAGGGAGGCTGAAATGATTGCCTTACCAAATTCTAGGTTGTTGAAATCTGCACTTTGAATTTGAGAACCACTGAAGGCTGCGGGCTCCAAACAGAGGGCACTGGCATCAACATATTCCCGGACTTTTCCGTGGAGGTGTCCATTCACTGGGTTCAGCGCAGGACCCAGGGAGCAGATTTATCCACCGGTGAGGTTTGTCACCCACCAGTGTAGGAAACACCAGCATAAAGGATGTGATTTACTCAGCTAGGAGTTAAGCTGGGCTTATCCTATGGAGAGCAAATGCTTTGTCGAAGCAGTTCTTAATAAGAGGCCAAGGGGTCCATTGAAAGAGCAGAGAAAACTAAGAAAGCAGCAATTAGGATGTAAGAGAGCTGCCTGCCTCCACCCCCACTTCCTGCCATAATTTTGATTAAAGCCCTGCATTTTGAATTTATTTTCCATTGCACAAACTAAACGGGCTCTGTAGCTGGTTTCCTGAGTAAAGATTTCCCGTGATGATTCTAGCATAGTCCCAATAGGAGTTAACTTAGTGTTGTTGGTAAGTTTTCTGAGAGGGTAGGGGTAACTAGAGTTTGTTTTTAAGACACCTAAGTAAGAATACCACACAAGGACCATTTCTGACTCTATACATTATCTGCCCAGTGACTTTTTGGGTTAATTACAACAGTATCTTATGCAGGAAGTAGAAGAAAGCCAAGTTAAAAACGAAGCATCACAGTTCCTCCCTCCACCCCCCACGCCCCAGAAGCCAGCTCTGTCCCTAATGTCCATCCCTGTGAGTGTCCAGTCTCATCTTGCCTTTGAGTTATACAAATAAACATACTGTAATAAACAACTAGAGGGTGTTCACTTATCAAAAAAGAAGTCATCGACTATATATTGGGTTGTCAGAAAATTCATGACATTTTCTTTTCTATATTTTTCAAGCAAAATATTGCCTCATGACTTTTCTGAAACCCAATAGTACTCTGTTTAGCTTTTCCCCACTTACAGACATCTCTCTAGTTAGGAAAATAAAAACACACATATAATTCTGCTTTATCTTTGTAACTGCTGTGCGTTGTTATACGTGCATCATAATGCACCCACCTTTCCCCTGTGGATGGCACATGATTAAAGCTGGGCCTTGGTGCCGCCCCCTTTCACCCCTTGAAACACAATCTTTTCATCTAAGCCTTTCCTCGAGGGACTGTGCTTCCTTGAAACCCATCCATGGTAGGGAGCTTGTCCTGCTCAGCCACCATGATGCCTCCAATGCCGGAGAGCAGAGATGCCAGCCTCCCACCATCTCAAGCTTCCAGAGTAAATGCACAGGGAATGCAGGGAAACAAATGAATTCCAGAGAGTTCTGGTCTGTGGCAATGTATGAATGAAAATAGTTTCACATAGAATATAAATCCTAGTCAAGTAAATTTGGAATAGAAAAGAAATCAGAAAGGGTCACATACATGTGTGTTTCCAAGCAGGAAGACTTTCCTCTCGCGTTGGATTGGGGGTTTTGGCTTTTGCCCTGAGCCTCCCCAGTCATCATCCTTGGTTCTCCTTGAAAGCAGCAAAAAGGCCTGAAGAGCATGGTGCAGAGCAGAGGTCAGAGAAAGTCTAGCAGCCCCAGGGTGAAATCCTGCATCTTCGCTGGGAAGCTGCCTGGCACTGCAGAAGTTGCTTCACTCCTCCAAGCCACTGTTTGGATAGTGGCTTTTTGGGGTGATGGCAGCATCCAGCTCCTGAGAGTGTCCGGAGGGTCAAATGAGCAGATATCACCGCAGCTCTTCAAAAGATGCCTGACCCGGGCGAGTGCTCAGTGGTCACGCACTGCTCTTGCCAGTGCCCTGTGCCTGTCATATTTCTCTCACCTCTCTCAGACCTGAGGAAGGGAATCTGTCCAGGCCTTTCCACTCAGGCCAGCAGCCAGAGAAATATTCTGGATTAAAAGGATTCCTGATTAAAATGCAGCGCTCCCATCAGCAAAGAGTGACCTGGGCTTTTGCGCCTCATTTTTGTTTGAATTCACGCCACACTGACCAACACTTCTGATTTCTCTTTCAGTTAATCAAGACAGCTTTGAGCACGCTTTAGAAGGTGAGTTCGGGAGGGGAAAATATCCTATAAATCAGACTCCTCGCAGAAAACACAAGCACGTATTTGACTAGCTCTATCCAGGTGCTTAAAAAAAAAAAAAAAAAAAAAAACTCTGCCTCTTCATTGCTGAAGGTCACGTGGAAACAAATGGTTGTGAAAGAAAAAATCATGGGGTTTACAGCTTAGGGTCTTAACGATGGCCCGAGGGGGATTCGACACTCATTCTGCTCATGATGATGAGGTAAAATCTCCGAGTCCCAAACCTGCAAAGAGCTAACCCAGCTGTAGATCTGCTCGCCCCTGGGGAAGAGTCTGGGGAAATTCAACCCAGTCATGTCTCACCCTCACCCTCCTGGTTTCCACGGGCGGGCCCTGGGAGGGAAGCTCTGTAGTCTGCTCCTCCTGAGGGAACCCCCATATCTCTCTTCCCCGACATCCATGTCCCTGCAGGCCCTGCCCTCTGCTCTCCTTTTTCATTCAGAAACGACATGTGCGGCGTGTCAGTGTGGAACAGATGTGAGAACCATCCCGGGTCTTGTTTCTGTGGCTCCTTCTCCCTCCCGCCCCTTCCGTAGGGGAAGCGTTCTGCGCCCTGCAGAGTCTCCATTCAGTCTGGCACAAAACCACTTACGCTGACTTTGATGTCAGAAATATACACACACCGTTGCATTTTAAAATGTTTTAACCAAGTGTGCAGTTGTCAGCATTGCTTCTGGAGCCAGCTGTTTGAACAAAAGCCAGCTTTCTGGTAGCGAGCAGTCCACCCGGAGCATCTGGGCCTTGGGACTCGTAGGCTCTTAGGTGCCGTCCTTGTTAGGGAGGATGCTGAGCCCAAGCAAGCAGGGGCAGGGCTCAAACTAAGTGCAGGGCGGAGTGGCTGCTGGGCCCCCTGTGAAGAGATGGGGTGTCCGGCTCTCTGTGGCCATCCTTTTTGTCTTTTGCCGGAAGAACATCTCAAAGGCCCGGGGCTGCGCAGAGATCACATGCGTCACCTGTGCTTGTGCATTTGTTGTGGTGCTAGGGTCGGTTTTTCCCACCCTGTTCGTTGGCGTTAGGGATGAGAGATGGGCGCACAGCCCGGTGCTGTTAGAAGTGGCCTCGGAGAACCGCAGAGGAAAGGCAGCCAGAAGCACCTAGTCTCCAAGAGAGGCGGGGGCTCCCTGCCAGCTGAGCTAGGCCGGGGTAGTTCTTGCAATTTCCACAAACGTTAGGGGATGACAGGAGGCTACCAGGGAGGCTGAGTGGTCTCCCAGAGAACTGACCCGTGGCCCCTGAGCATCAGAACTGGGTCTTCACGCTGGGAGAGTGATGACTCTGGCAGGACTGACCTGGGTGCCCAGCGCCCTCTTCTGGAGGGCCTGATTGCAGCAGCTCTGGGAAGGACCCACTCTGGGGAGGTCAGGAGGCAGGAAGTGGGGGCAACAAGCTCAAGCTGCCCACCTCCCCAAGAAGCAGCCAGGTTGCAGAACTCTGCTTAGAGACCGCATAGCGAGCCTCGTGGTGTGCACCTGCCCACACCCAGTCGCAGTTCCAGGCTGCTCCTCTCCTCTCCGTTCCGTGGAGTGTCAAGGGAACCTGCGTGCCCCACACCTCACTGGGGATTTTCTCCATGTCTCCCTTGAATTGTAATTTAACCAGATTTCAACTGTACACCATCCCCCATTAAAAAAATAGGGAGCCTGCCTGGTGGCGCAAGGGGTTAAGTCAAAACACTATGAAGCCATCAGCAGCCACTGCCACAGGAGTTCGATCCCCGGCCAGGGAGCTGACCCACATGGCGCAGCAGACCTCTCCTGTCTCCCCTCAGCAGTGTATTTCAGTAGATCTGCCTGTTCTGCTCCCCACTGTCTCTGGTGAATCCTCTCCCCGCCTCCCACACCTCTGGCCTGTACACCAGTGCTTGTATGCATAATAAATAAATCTTTAAAATAAAGAAATAAAATAAAACGGGCACTGTATGATGGGGATTCAAACAACTAACCCCTACAGCCGCCTCCCCCACTCCCGCTCCCTCCAAGGATGACCCCGTGGCAAAGCCCCGTCCCTTTTCCTCTCTCATTCCTGTCTCTCCTCTCTGGAGATGGCCCTCCAGTCTAAGGCTGTGTGGCGTCAGCTCTCTGAGCAGGTGTGGAAGGGGCAGAGCAGGTGCCCCCTGGAAGCTGGGGACCTGCGTGGGGGAATGCAGGAGACATGAGGGCCTCATTAGTTTCTGTGTTCAGTAGCAGAAGCGGCAGCAGAGACCTCACTGGAAGGGGGCAACATGGCCCTGGCAATCTTCATCCCGGTCCTCATCATCTCTTTGCTGCTGGGAGGAGCCTACATTTATATCACCAGGTAGGAGCTTGAGGGAGGGGCATGGGCGGCTGCCACCTACTCAGGCCCCAGCTCAGCGCTAGGGAGTAGGGAGGAGCAGGCATGTCACCTCTCTGAGCCTCAGGGTGTGACTGTGGGGATGCTGTGATTCAGCTCAACTCTGGTAAATATTTATATGGGATCCCTCCCACCCTTCTGGTAGGATTGCTGAGCATACTCAGGAAGCAAGAGAGACTGTATCCCTCGCCTCAAGGAGCATGGTGCAGGGGAGAGACAGACAGCTCACACGGCAGGCCCCTCTCATGCAGTCATTATTCACAAGTTTTTTGTTTGTTTATTTTTAATAATTTATTTATATATAATTTTACATTATTGTTCTTTTTTTACAGTGTTTGCTTTCTTTTCTCAGATGTAGTGTAAGTACATTAGAAGTATGTCATGTATTAGAAGGTGATAAATAGAAAAAGAATAACCAGAAGGGAGAAAAAGAGGAGTAGCGTCGGGATAGTGGTTGAACTTTAGGTAGGGTCCATAGAGAAGGGCCCACTGAGTAATGACATTTGAGTAAGGACCTGAAGGCAATGAATAAATGACACAAATATCTGGCAGAGAAGGGTTCCAGGCAGAGGAGCAGCATGTGCAAAGGCCCTGGGGTAGGTCCTAGTATAAATTTTTCCTGCCCTGTGGAGCTCACAGACTAGTGGAGGGAGGGAAGCAGTTCACAGTAAATGATAATGCTTTATGACGAGCACAGTGAAGAGATAGTGTGGTAACAGAGGAAGCGCCTTTAAATAAATGTATGGTCAGGGATGACTGTTCTGAGGCAAGATAATATTTAGTAGGTTGTTGCTGCTCTTAGCATTAAAGAAGCACCCGGCCTTATGTGGTTCTAAGTTGAAAGCAATGTGATTACAGCTTTCAAGCGCCTCAGAGTTGCACCTGTGAGAGGCTGTTCCCACACCTCCTTATTGTTATTCTCGGAGGTGCCAATGCTCAGGAAGTGGCACCAAGTGTTTCCTTTTCCTTTGAAGGTGTGTCCTAGGCCAGGAGAAGTAACTTCTCGCTCCTTAATTGTCTTTTTGCAGATGTCGCTATTACTCCAACCTCCGCCTGCCCCTGATGTACTCGCACCCCTACAGCCAGATCACCGTGGAAACCGAGTTTGACAACCCCATTTATGAGACCGGGGTGAGTTGATCTCGCTGTGCTCCCTGGTGCCTCCCTCTCCATCTGCCCAGATTCACCAACATTAAAACTGAAGGTTTAATTTCCTTTTGATGACAATGCCACTGGTAGAAAGGCATGGCCCAAGGTCCTGTCTCATCCTGCCAGGACATCTGATGAGATCACTGCTGGAGAACCAGCTTTCTGAGAGCTGATGACAAGCCTGTGGCCCTGTTCACCCTTAGCAGAATGTTCACGGAAAGAAGGGGCTACACTATTGACCCATGGAGAGACAGCGAGGGCAGGTCAGGGTCCATCAGTGCCTGGTAGATGGGCATTCCTATGCATCTGTTCAACTCCACTCCTATTGGCTGGCCATGTGCGCCATCCCTACATGTTTGAGTGACAGCCTGTCATTGGGAACTAAGGATACAATCATGAACCAGATACACATAGTCCTGCACCAGAGATAATATTATATTACCCATGATTGTAACAATCATAACCATCGTGAGCCTGGCACCTTCAATGCATAATCTTCTTGATTCCTTGCATTTCTTTGCAATCGATTCTTGCAGTTATCTCTGATTGTCCAGTGAGGCCCTTGAAGTTCAGAGAGAGGAAAAATATAATTTGGCCAAGGTTGTATACAACCAGAAAGCCCAGCCTGGAGCTAAGGGGCACGTTCTACCTGATGCTGCATCATTATCCTTCCCTGCCTCCCCTTGAATAGCCAATTAAATATGCCAATGAATATCTTAATTCCAACAAATCATCATTTTTAAATGCTGACAAAAAGGAAATTGGACAGGGCGCTATAAGGACAGATAATGGGGATGCTGGGAGGGGAAGGGAGAAGCATCTTTGAGGAGGTGATAGTGAGGCTGGGATAGGGAAGGTGGGTAGAACTTAAAGTCGAAGAAGGTTGGGCAGAAAAGAGAGAGGTCATGCAGAGATCAGGGCCAGTATGAGGAACAGAGAGCCTGGTCATGACTTTGCTAAACCACAACCCGTGACGTTCACTGTGGAACGATGTGCCGGCCTCTCATCTCCCCATGCTTGAGAGGCTCAGTGACCTCCTCTGGAGCAAAGCCTGTGACTTCTTACATGTTCCTGCTCCTCTGGCCCAGAGGCCTGGATTACATTACACATACTCCATAAATATTAGAGAAAATGGAGCTGCTTGCTACCCACCTGTCATCACTAGATACAGCACTGGTAAGAAGAGGTCATACGTTATTTTGTACTCTATATAACCTGTTTTCAAATCCTAAAAGACAGTCAAGCCAATGAAAAAAATAGCAATTAAGAGACGAGATCTTATTAATACTTATTAGTATAGTCTGTCAATTACCTACAGCTACAGTGATCCCAACTACTGTTACAGTGAGTAACAAAAAAAAAATAATCCCCAAAATCATTCACTTAAAGCACCAACTGTTGATTTTCTCATCAGTCTGCAGGCAGTTCAGCTGGGCATTCATCCTGTTTGAGGGTCTGGGACTGGCTAGTTGTTGGGTGACTCCCTGTGCAGCTCTGCAAAGGACTAGCAAGGCACGCTCTGCTGTGGAGGGGGCAGGGCACAGCAGAAACACACGAGCACTATTAAAGCCCCTCTTGTGTCCTATCTTCTGATAACCGCTCAATAAGAGCAAGTCTGGGTCAAGTGGAAGGACGATGGATGTCTCATGGTCAGTGTGGTGGGTGCAGGCAGAGGTGATGGCCTATGCTCATTAATGTGTGGCTCTTCCAGGCAGGAGTTTAACAGAACTGTGCTTCTCTCTCCTGCAGGAAACCAGAGAGTATGAAGTTTCCATCTAAAGAGAGCTACACTGGAGAAGGGAACCGGCAGATAGGAACTCAACTACAACCTCCTCGAGAAATTCATCCAGAGATCATGTGGCATTTGATAGAAACCCCAGAGTGTCCGCTGTCTTTTCTTTAGACTCTTTATTGAAGATTTACTGTTTTCTTCACTGTATTTATTATATTTAAAATTGAAATAGGTGTGGTTGGATGCAGCCAAGTTCATGTTACAGCCTCAGTTTTGAAGGCAGGCAGAAGATCTGCAAAATGGCAAACGCAGCAGCAGAGGGGACAAAACCCAGGTTGAGTTAGTCCCATCAGCAGCGCCATGCTGTGGCTGCATCAAGCGCATGCATCTTTCGGGACGCCCATGGTGTTCGTACAAAGCTAAGTCCCCAGATTAGGTTGGAAAGAGTATTTCTTGTGGGCTAACTTGGGCTGGAATTTAGCACGGATATTTAAACAAGTCTGCTCCAAAACCCCTGAGTGTCCTCCCTTCCAATTTTCCTGGCTTCTGGAAGATCTTGATACATCCTCTCCCTCCCGTGGCCTTTCTGAAAGCAGCCCAAGGGGTTACATCAGCACTCTCTCTAACAACCCTGGCCTCGCTGGTTGCTGGCAAAATAAGAAAATGTTTTCTTTCCATAAAGATGGCAGATGACAAAGGAAAATTTTCAGAGAAGATGAGAGTTCTGAGAGTCAGAATGAAGAAGTCGGTGAGGAGGAAGGTTGAGGGAAGGAACTGAGTTAATAACATGCTCTTTTCTTTGACATTCCTTCCATGATAAAACAGCAGGTTATCTAAGCGTGCCAGCGTGGATCACCTTGTTCAGCAAGGCCACCCTCCTGGGGGAACAGACCCCAGCGCTAGACTGGGCAACCCCGCCCACAGAGCTAGGGGACTAGCACCCTGAAATCCAGGGATGGATTTTTTCTTCTCCTGGGGTGTGCTAGAATGCCTGAGCCCTCCAAATAAGGGAGATGTAAGTGCACTGTTTCTCTAAAAAGCATCACCTTCAGAAAAGATTTGCAATCCAGTATTGGTAGGATGTGGGGGGTACAGGGGAGAAGGCAGGGCTGGAGGGGGAGGAGAAGGATGAGCCTATAAGAAAAAAAAACCCTACTCTTCTATTTCCTGAAGCTCTGCGCAGATGTGGAGAGGCAGCGTGAATACTGCCCAAAGAGATTCAGAGAAACAGAAAGAGGGGGTTAAAACCACGATAGAGCCTTCATCCTAGGATTCAGACGCCAATGAAGAGAGGAGGGATTTCAGGTCAGAAAGGAGTCCACCCCATATCCATCTCACGGGCGTCCTGATATGTTATCAGGATTCGTTCATCCCCACCTAGTGGGGCAGGAGAGTGTGTGGCCATCTGGAAGTTTCTTTTCTAAATACAGGTGTAAAGCAGAAGCAGGGGGTGAGGATAGTGAGTTGGACGCAGATGCACCCACCCTCCTGGGGCCACCCAGGGGTGCCCACCTGGGTGACATTGAGTCCTCTTGGGCACCCTCTCACTTTAGAAGGTTTTCAAACAAGAGAAGACTCTCTTGCTGCCAGCCACTGGGCGAATGGCTGGCGTCCATGTTTGGGGGAGGGCTTGTTTAGGAAGCCTTTCAAGTGGGTGAGCAATTGGCTTTGCACACAGTCATTTTCTCCTATTGACCAGGAACTTGGAAATCGCATTTGGGGGTCTGAGAATGCTGCCTAGATGTATGCTCCTTGAGGCAAAAGGTCACTAGAGGTTGCTCTCGAGGCACCCCAAAGTCCACCCTTTTTTACAAAAGATCCCAAGGAGAAACACTCCAGACCTACAGTGAGCAACGCCGTGTTTGAAGAACAACCAACAATGCCAATGATGTCACTTTTTTTTTTTTCTTAAGGCAGAATCCAATTTTTGCTTTTGTTTCTATTTGATTCTTTAGTCTAACCTTATCCCTGGGTCATCTGGAATGAAAAACTCTATTAATGATGTTTGATTTTAGGACATACTATGGTTATGTGAAAACTAACCATTTGCCTTCTGGAAAGACTGACAAAATATAAAATCTTTATTCTAACCCTGTTCCCTAAAACTGGCCAGACCGTGGACCAAGAATTTTTATGGGCTATTGGAGAGCTAGAAAGGTGTTGATCTTTCTTTTCAGGATATCAGTGTCTTAGTTCTGTCTTAGTAGTACAGCACCTGTAGCCATGTTTTAAAAGTTTGTTTTAGCCTAGAGATGGGTATGGCAACTCGACAATGTACAGTGTGATTGAAAAGACAGGTTGGTGTCTATTTTTCTTTTCAAAATATCTGAATGTGTATTTGTAATATGTAAAGGTTTAAAAATAATAATAATAATAGTGCCAAAAATGTACCAGGATCTCCTTTCGGTTCATATATGTCTGTTTTTATAAGATCAATAATGAAAACCCATTGGGATTAAATATTTTTGAACCGGGTACACTCTTGAGAAACTCGAGAATGGACTGAACCTTCCTACAAGCCACTCTTTGTTTTTGAAACAGTGGGGAAATGCGTTTACAGAGATTTCGAGCTTCCCAGAATGCATGTGATGGCGTGTGTTACATGCTAATTCTTCTAAGCTGTATCTGTCAGCTACCACCCTGTGCTTTAAAAGTGCACACTCTACCCTCCTCAGCTTGGAGCTCATTCTTTTGCTTTTTGGGGGAGTGGGGGCAGTAGAATTGTTTAGCCCACATAAGTATTCTGGTCACTACCAGATGACCATCTGGACTTAGTTGCATAGATGTGCTTTAAACTTGAGCTTTCGAAACCAGCTCCCCAGAGAGCTGCGAGCTTCAGAAATTGCCAAGCAGCCCAGCAGGAAGGGAAGTGGCCTCCTAATTGAGATAGTGGAGGAGGATGGGTAGGATGTGGCAGGTGGATGGGTAGATGCAGACTGAGGCGGGAGTCTTGGGCAAAAATGGCCTTTCTGTGGAATAAATCCGAAAGAGGTGACTTTCCTAGGCCCTTGGTAGGGGCAGTTGGTCATTGGAGGGCAGATGTATGGAGTAGCTCAGCACCCCCAAAGGCAGGCTTTCTCCTGGGAAATTTTCATTTTCATTTTATCCCCAAATAGAATTAAAAAAGCAAAACAAACTTTCTAAGCTAGAATAATGAAATTTAATCATTTTCCACTTTGTATATATTGATGCTAATAAAACAAATGAAAAAAAGAGTCAGATCTATGAGGTTTTTGTGGCAGCTACGGCAGGACAGCGCCAAGGGGCATCTGTCGGTTCCGGCATTGGCCAGGCTCACACCTACTGATGCTTTGAATGCTGAGACAGGACTGACCACTCTGGGAAGGTTCTGGTAGCATTTGGGGAATGTTTGGAACAAAACAGATCTGAGGAGACTACCCTCAGCAGGCATACCACCACTCCGCAGCTCGCTCAGGCCTCCATAACAAAGCGCCATCGAGGGGTGGCTCAAACCCAGTTCCGGGGGCAGCCTTGGTATTTGGTTTCTGCTGAGCTTTTCTTCCTACCTCACAGACGGTCTTTTCATTGTGTCCTCTTGGGGTTATAGGGATCTGGCGGGAGGAGAGAAGGTGGGGGGCTGGAAAGCTGGGAGGGAAAGAGAGATCTCTGTCTCTCTTCCTCTTCTTATAAAGCCACATTCCTATCAGATCAGGGCCTTACTCTTACCAATTTACTTAACGTTAATGATGTCCTAAAGGGCCTGTCTCCAAATATGGCCACAGTGGGGGTTATGGCTTCAGCATATGAAGGGGGGGAGGGGTCCACAAGTCCATAACATTCTGCCTCTAGTCCCCCAAAATTCATATCCTTCTCATATGCAAAATGCATTCATGCCACCCTAACAACCCCCAAAATCCTAACTCACCAGCATCAATACTAAATCCTAAAGTCCAATGTCTCATGTAAATATCATCTAGATCAGGCCTGGGTTTGAATCATCCCTCCTGAGACAAAATTCCTCTCCAGCTGGAAACCCGTGAAATCAAGCACAGGTTCTGCACTTCCAAAATGCAGCAGTAAGATGGGCCTAGGACAGACGTTCCCATTCCAAAAGGATGAAATGGGGAGCAAAGAAGGGTGATGGCCCCAATGAAAATCCAAAACGTGGCAAGGCAAGTTCCAATGGATCTTATGACTCTAGAACAGTCCTCTTTGGTACAATACCCTGCCCTTGAGGACCTCTGGGGTGAGTGTCACCCCCAGGGCTCTACGGGAGGGCAGCCCAACCCATGAAGCTCTGTTGAAGGGAGTCACAGATGCTGTCATGCTGGCTGGACCAGACACATTCCCGCCCTTTGAAACCAGGGCAAAAACAGCTTTGTTCCCTGGACCCATGGTGGGAGTGGTGGACATGAACATCCCTGCATGAACATCGGGATCATTCTTCCCTTTTCTTGAAGAATAGTGCCTGTCAACAGCTGAGTAAGTCTATCGTTGCACCCTACAGAATCCAAGAAATCTCTGGGGGGCACAATAGAAGTTGTATGCAAACCCACCATAGCAGGAGTTCGAGACACAGAGCTGATTTTCAAAAAAAAAAAAAATTAATGGCTATATGTGCACTGGGGTGACACAGAAGAATCCCAGGAAGCCTCAACCCCAAAGCTGTCCTCCAGTTCTAACCCACCGGACCCTCATGGAGCTCACAGGCCATTCCAAAGGCTGGGAGCAGGGTAGGAGAGCTGGGGGTCACCCCTTCCCCAAAGGCAGTCACTCTAGGGCTGGAGGGCTAGCAAACTGGAGGGCTTGCAAACAAGGTGGGCTTCAAAGAAAGTGCAGATCCACAGCAGAGACACTCCTGTCTCTCCTCTCAAGTCCATTGTGGTCTTTCTCTCTTCAGCTACTGATGTTTAACTGCTGATGTGTCCTGGCTTGTGGGTTTGTTCAAACTGAAGTTCAAGAGAATTATAACTTATAGGGTCATATTTAATAAATAGCAATCTCACACATTATAATCTTATAAATAAAATACCTCTATCTTATTTTACTGTGGTATGTGTCGTATTTTGATTTGGTTAAGCCACTGACTGCTTTTGTATCATCTAATTTGATATCTCATTTATTCCTGTGAGTAAAAAAATGAGCATCATTCTCCTTTGACAGATGTGGGAGGTGAGGCTCAGAGAGAC